AATATACCTGATAATGAGTTTTCCTCTGTCAAGCAGATGCAGCAGATTTATTGTCCTATTTTTGCCACAGCGTTTCTCTGAGCTTGGCATCAATTGCTGTTATAGTGACGTCAAGTACAATAAACAATGCAACATGCTCCAGATATAGAGTGTGAAAACATCTGAAATATACAGCAGACACAGAAATCTGTTCATGTGCAGTACCATTTCGTATTTTCACGATGTTTGCATGTAGGGCTTTAACTAATGATCCGTTTTTATTATTGATTAATATGCTGATTACTTTCAAGATGTATTGATAATAATCTTTGTCTATAAAATGTCATATATAATGCCGAATGTCCCTCATAGTTTCTCCAAATCAAAGGGGTTGTATTCTATTTGTTAGTCGACTTGTGGTTGCATCTCTAGAGTCATGGATGCTGTCAGTTTTCTTATTTGGTTTGCAATCCTGGTTCTATTTTCCTATCTTATCTCCTGATAATACAGAGATGGCTTTCAATAAAGAAAATGTGATTAGACTGGAGGAAAATAGAGTTAAGAAAACAAATCAATAAGATTCATTTTAAGCTCCTTAAAACTGTCCAAGGATTTGGTTCTTCTACCCTTCTACAAGAACGGATGTTCAGTGTGTGTATATATACAAACACTGACATATATACCACAGTGAAATGTCAAAAAGCAGCAAGCACATTGTATACAGATACATCTCAGTGTCCTAATGAGGGAGCAGGGATTGCAGGGAGTGTTGTTTGCCTCACCTGTCTCCAGTTGTCATAGATAATAATGGTGCTCTCCTCGTCATCCACAGTGACTGTGCGTACGTAACCCTCCCCTAGGGACAGGGACAGAGGCAGTTAGCTTTCACATGGGAGATGGGTGCAGTGATTTATTTGCTTACTGTGAAAGCCCTCAAGCCCCCACTGCATTATACTGCCCTGCATTAGTCAAACACACAGCACACACCTTCACAGTCCACAGACGCAGTCCTGTCCATGTCTCCAGAGAGGGCCACGGACAGGGAGGACTTCCCCACGCCGTTCTGCCCCAGCAGGGCGATCCTTAAAGGCCCATCAGGTCTGCCCTCCACAGATACAGTCGGAGTGTCCTCCAAGGCTAGGCTGAAGCTGATTGGTGAAGCAGACGGTCCAGCTGCACCTGATGTCCAATCGGCGTCATCGTGTACGGCTTCTTCTCTTCTCAGCTGATGCTTTATAGGCAGAGGAGTGCTGCCTCTGCGAACATTCGGGGCGCTGGACAGAGTCATACTGTCACACTGGAGGAGAAAGGAACATGAAGGGGCACTCTTTATATCGCATAACATTTATAGCTAGTATGTATTCAGATATGTTTCTTGTATAAGAGACAGCCAGCTCCCAAAGCACCAGTTTGCATGATGATGTGATACTCCATCTATTTAGTATTCAGCAACTCTATAAAGTCAGGGGACTTGCAGCAGAGGCGCTTGTATGGGTAAATCTCAATAGTATTTTCCAAAAGACTTTCCCTGCCTTTTAAACGCCTTCATCTGTCAAACTCCAGATCCCTGGTGGAGCCTATAAAACAGCTTCCTGTGCCTAAACCAAAATAACTCTGATGACATCATCAGGGTTTAATGACAACGCTCCTGCACAGACACTGAAGACATATTACAACTTGTTCTACAGGCTGAATAGTATTTATCTTGACGAGTAAACTGACCGTGGTCTAATATGTCCCTTTCAACCTACACAGTACTTGAGCCATGTCAGCGAGAGAGCGTGTACTATCATAGAGCCCTGGAACTGCTCACCTAAATTGAATGCAGCCATCATTAATATTCACCTGTGTTCCACTGCTTTGGCAACTAATAGATGCCTGCTTTGAAAAGTTAATATATTATTATTTTATTATATGTCTATTTACACAGAGCGACAGTTGCATTTTGGAGTCATGTTATCGTCCACCAAATATAATGTATTCTATCTCCACTCTGCTGTTGGGTCAAAAAGCAAAACCCCAATAATTAGTAAAACAATGATATGAT